TGACCAGGAAACGTTTGGTAGTAAGTCTACTATTCAATGACGAATAGAGAGCAATTCTTTGATTAAACGATGAAGTACTCTGACAATGAGGCATATATTGACTAATTTATGCAAATTCCCGGAATTACGTACGTATTTTTTTTTTTTAACAAAGTGTGCCTTGCACAGAACTGTTTTAAACACTCTTGCAATTTGCTTGGGACTTTCCTTGACTACGATTCGTAGAAATTCGATATAAACTTGATCGTCCAGATTGAAGTGGATATTTTTGAGAGAAACATTTTCCGGTTGAAACTGGCCAAAACATCATTGGCATGTTCAGATATTTAAAGAATCAAATCCATAGACAAACGAATTTTTCTTGCCGCTTTCGTTGCTGAAGAACGATTTTCGAATTCATGCAACGTACAGAGTCTGAGAATGAGCCTGATATTAAAATTTGGCCGTTCTGATATGAAGTAATCTCCAAAGAAAAGGGAAAAAAACTTACAATGTAAGCATTAATGGCTATTTAACGTCAATGCAGAAAAAAACTATCCTTAAATAATCATATCAAAACCCGATGGGATTTTCTTTCCAATCTAATATGAATCTAATCTTTTATCGATAACAAAAAAGTCCATTAAAGGAAGATGAAACTATATTTTATCTTGTTTTATGTACTTACCAGATACAAAGAATTAACAAGCAAAAGTATTCTCAAATTAACCAGAAAAAGTATCCTCAAATAATTTTGTCAAAACCCCATTGGAGTTCCTTTCCAATCTAATATAAATCTAATCTTATACTGCCAGCATAAATGTCCAATAAAGGATGCTGAACCTATATTTTTTCTTGTTTTATTCAATTACCAGATTCAGAGAACTAACCAGAAAAGTATCCTCAACTAATCTGTCAAAACCCGATAGGATTTTCTTTCTACTCTGAGATGAATCTAATCTTATACCTCCAACAGAAAAGTCCATTAAAGCAATCTGAAACTATATTTTAGCTTGTTTTATTCACTTACCAGATACATAGAACCAACCAGAAATTATCCTCAAATAATCTGTCAAAACCCGATAGGATATTTATCCCAATCTAATATGAATTTAAACTTATACCGCCAATATAAAAGTCCATTAAAAGAAAATATATTTTATCTTGTTTTATTTACTTACCAGATACAAAGAAGTAACAAGGAAAAGCATGAGAATTTTTAACCTCAGAAATCTAATGAGCAGAGCTTGGAGCAGAATTGGCCCAAAAATACGGCAATTCCAGTATGGTTAGAAAGTAGAACAAAGAAATGACCCCTTTATTCTCAAAATTCTATCAGAACTAACAATGTAAATGTAGAAATGCCAACACATACGTTTCACAAAATATATTTAATCAAGTCCGACACAAATACTAACTAGAAATACTAGAAATACTAATACTAATATTATAGGTACTAATCTTTTACCTATGAATGTGTGTTTGCTTCAAGAGGCTTAAACGTCTTCTAGGACCAAAGCTCCTCTCAGACCTAAAGCGTATCTCGTATATACGATTTATTGTTAAATATGCTTGGAAAATGTTCGGTTCATTGTAACACCCTGTAAATATCTGACTCCCTCTTGTATACTCTGTCTTTACAAGAACCAGATAAAACCGAAAATGGGGTATTGCTGCTATATCTGGGCTCAAGCCGCTCAGGATTTACTAGGAAGTTCACGAAGGAAACTTCCATCAATTGTGGAGAGTACCATAACAGTTACTGAACTTGTTTTTTTCTGAAAATCTGTTTCAATAGAAAGCGTTTATAAATTTCAACCTAAAGTGAACGGGCTGCTCAGTCAATGAGTGCCGGATGTCTCCGTATAAGGAAAAGGCTAATAGTATCATTAAATCAGCTACCATTGTCTTTAGAGATTGCGAGAAGAGATAATGGCTTCTGATCCCGAGCGTAACTCGAGTAGCACCGGCTGCTCGGTCAATAAATACCGAATGTTTTCCATATCTGAAAATTGCTAATATTACCATTTGATGTGAGAACAAATACTACACTTGATATTTACTCGTCTCTCCACGGCGGAAGGATATATATATATATATATATATATATATATATGTCACGAGGATGTTTTAAAGTTGGGAATCCAGAGCACATGGGATGAAGCCAAAATTTGTGCGGTGCCTACAACCAATGACGCACTGGCGTCGATATTCTACTGGTCTTCGCTCTTTGCTGCAATGGGGGAGGTACTGCCGCAGGGTTGGAATCGCCGGGACTAGGCATCCCATATTTATTTTTTGTGTGCTTGTCTGAAGAAAATAATTGAGAGATAAAATGTTGTTTATCCCCCTAAGAGTAGATGCTGCACTTAGTATTTACATACAAACACACGCTGTCAGTTTAATGCGACTAGCCCAATGGTGTGCACCTAGACCAGGTCCAAAAATAACCAGCCCCCGCAACTGTCAGTTGCACTGGCATTGTTATTACAACCGATCTCCACCCTTTGTGCAAAAAGGAATGGACAGTTGCGGAAACTGTTCCCTGAAACCGGAAATATGTTCGCCGGAATCGGACATCTCTCAATATTTTTTTTTCATTTCCAGGCGTCCCGAATATAAAGAAACGACTGGGCTGCGCTCTATCCGAAGACAAAAACACAATTGAGAGCTAAAATATAGTGTGTCCGCCCGAAGACAGACACTACACTCTGATCCCAGTCCGATGGCCGGAAAAACCTAACCTGAGGAGCACTGAGTGATCGATTAATAAATCCCCTATTCCTTATAAGGGAATGGCTACTATTAGCATTTGATTGACTCTTTCTTCTTCGATCAACCTTCTGCCTTTTCATCCCAATCTCCGACATAATTGCTGTATATCACTTGCTAAATGAAGGTTTCCACGCCTTTTAAATATTCTAGCACTCTCTCTTATAATCCTGCTCCGTCATAGTGGCGCACATCTATGGATATTCATGCCATGAAACGATGTCCCTGAATGCCACTAACGATAGAAAATCCCCTTCAGCGTTAGCAGTGGCTCTGAGTACATAAGAACATATATTTCATTTAGTATAACTTGGAAACAAAAGCTTCGTTTATTTATGTTCTTCAAGTCTTTTACGTCACTAACAATTTATATTCCAATTTCTTTTCAATAATTTTACAAATAAATCTCAATAGAAATATTAAGTAAAAGATTTATGGCAATATTATAATGCCAGATATATGTGTATTTTGTATATATAAAATATCTATCGATCGATCTATCACTACTTATAATCTATCTATCTATCTATCTATCTATCTATCTATCTATCTATCTATCTATCTATCTATCTGTTCTGTCTATCTATCTCTCATATATATATATATATATATATATATATATATATATATATATATATATAATTATTTATATATATTATATGCGGTACTTATTAGAAAGCGCTCAATATCAGGGATAGAGCTAACATATTTGGTTGGATTGATGTGAGTTTTGTGACCCTAGGTTTCACGCTTTTTGCGATTTTGTCTGACTATCGCAAAAGCGTGAAACCCAGGGTCTAAATCACATCAATCAACCAAATATATATATATACATACATATATATATATATATATATATATATATATATATATATATATATATATATATATATATGCAGAAGTTATTGAGGGAGAGTTGAATTGTGTTTCATATTATTAGTTTTCTTTATTCGTGTATTGAAAAAGAAAAATAATATTCCTGATCAATTAAGCTCTCCCAATAACTTCTTATATATATATATATAATATATAGATCAGGAAATATATATGTTATATATATATATATATATATATATATATATATATATATATATATATTATATATATATATGATGTGAGTTTGTGACCCTGGGTTTCACGCTTTTGCGATAGTCAGACAAAATCGCAAAAAGCGTGAAAGAAGGTCACAAACTCACATCAATCAACAAAATGTTAGCTCTATCTGATATTGAGCGCTTTCTAATAAGTGCGCATATAATATATAAATAATTATATATATATATATATATATATATATATATATATATATATATATATATATATATATATATTTATATACACACATTTTTCACACACACACACACACACACACACATATATATATATATAATAGAAAATGGTAAACTGTATGCAATTTCCAAGAGGATATAGATTCAGGGAGAACAAAGTTATTAATTAATGAATATCAAACACTTAAAATCCCGTAGGTGATAATTTTTACTTCATGAAAGCCATGTGAAAATAGCTTTCAATCTTTCCGACCTGCAAATCACATATAAAAACGGAAAAAAAAATACTCCATGTTAAAATCAAGATATGCAGATGACTTATTTAGAGAGAGAGGAAAAGAAAGTTTAACGACATGTAAAGGTTGGGCTAAAATGATGTTAAGACATTAACATTTTATCAGTTAGTCTTTAAAATTTGTGGGAACCTAATTTAATATACTGATTTTATATTTAATTCGCTATAAAAGTATGGCATTTAAAGAAGAGGGCAAAGGAAAGTATTGTTAAGACTATAGGAATTACAGAAAACACACTGTCTGCCTTTTATACCGCTAAAATTTCAATTTAGATATATTCAATTTAACAAACCATTTATAAATTATATTAAAAAGTTTATGGTTAGGTCCATTTTAAATAATACTCATGTATATGTATGTGAGTCTGTACGTATATTGTACATTATTCTCTCTACCTATCTATCTATCTATCTATATATCTATCTATCTAAGCCTGTTCATTATTTATCTATCTATCCCTGTCTGTTCATATCTATATATCTATCAATTACGATTAAATAGTGAGTTCAACCCTCACTGGATGGCCCATATTTTCAGTCTTGTACCACATCTAAGCTACACTTAGAAAATCACCATATCTATCTATCTATCTATCTATCTATCTATCTATCTATCTATCTATCTATCTATCTATTAGGTTAATTGCAAGAATAATGACGTAATAATGTCATTTTGTGACGTATTTTTAACCTCAAAAAACGACATTATTACGTCATTATTTTTGCACCTACCTAATATCTATCTATCTATCTATCTATCTATCTATCTATCTATCCCATTCTGTTTATTATCTATCTATCTATCTATCTATCTATCTATCTATCTATCTATCTATCTATCTCATTATGTTCATTATCTATCTATCTATCTATCTATCTATCTATCTATCTATCTATCTATCTATCTATCTATCTATCTCATTCTGTTCATTATCTATCTATCCATCTATCTATCTATCTATTTCACCTTAGTTAGTTAGTTAGTTAGTTACTTAGTTTAATCACCCAATAGGTAAATAAAATGGGAGGGGCATAGAAATCACTCAAAATGCAATTTTTCTTTTCGAATTAAAATTAATATGAATTCCATCAAATTTCAGCTTCTTCCAGAGGAAAGATGAAAGAAATTTGTTTTATATATATATATATATATTGTTGTTAATAATGAAGCGCGGTTGATTATTTGTAGAGTTCAGTGAATTTCAAATGCAATTTTAACAATCAATTTAGAAACTCCGACTTCTTAAATGAAAACGAGAAATAGTGGCATATATATCTCGCGTACCAATATTCATTTTCAAAATGTGTTGCGAAGTAATAAGACTAAGAACTAAATGCACTTCACTATTTTTTATTAGTTTGATATCTTACATTTTTCCTCTTGTTTCTTTGTCTTTTATATGACGTGGACTTTCTTAAACATTGACATATTCTCCAGTGAACTCTGATCAAGCATGTTACTGAGAAATTAATGATCGTCTTTTGAGGAGACACCTGTTGAATATCAAAAGGCAGGCACATGAAGTAGGTGCGCAAAAAATGGTTTTCATGCCGAATGCAGCCCTTCCCTGTCATGACAGTTAACACTGCCACACGCCATGCATGTGCGACCTGTCAGATATTGCGCATTCAACATATATATATATATATATATATATATATATATATATATATATATATATATATATATATGTTTCATTAAAAACGACAGACAAGGTATTACGGTTAAGCTTTTTATTTAATTTTCTTGTGTTCGAACAAGAGCTTTCTTTTCTGGACAAAGAGTGTGTAAAACTCTCTAAATGTTTTATAGTTCCGAGCGCTTTCGGCTATACCTTCAGCCATTATCAAGGATGATTCAATTTTTCGACTTAATTGTTTGCATTATGTGTATGTTTTAATGTGTTGTAGGGATGTTTTAATTTCCGAATACGGTTAGCACATTGTGGCCTTGTTCGTAGTTAATATTGTCAAGAGTTGGCTTTTTCTCTTTTTTATTAAAGCTTCCATTATTTTTAATATTTTTTTGCAGGTGGATGAAATTATTATATTTGTGCTTTCTACTAGTATGTTTCTAATGGAGTCTGTTAAATTTGTGAGTGTGTTTAAATGGGTTCTAATGGAGCTGTGATCAGATAGGTGTAACGTAAGACGTCTGGATAAGCATGTTTTTGTGTAACCGATGTAATTATTTATGGGTCCGGTTTGATCAGGAACACAGTTCCTCAAGGGGCATTTGAACTCATAGATAATGTTCTTTCTTTGTAATCTTGACTTAACTGGTGTGTTGTTGTTTTGTTTTTTTTAGGATAAGTTTAGCTGTCTTAAAATTTTTATAATAGATAATTAATTTGATTTTTTTTATTCGGGTCAATTAGGGTATGTATTTCTTTATAATATGTCTTCGTGAAGATTCGTCTTGTTTGTAATTAATATGCATTTGGTTTTTGTAATAAATGTGTATGTAATTTTTGACTGTGTGTTCACTGTCGTTATTACTTACATTGGGGAGAAATAGTCTAATTTGGTGGTTGTATATATATATATATATATATATATATATATATATATATATATATATATATATATATATATAAGCAAAGTCGCAGCAAGCGAAAATCAGAGTTTCCTAGTTGAGTTTGGTTTGGAGTTCCAATTTTCCACAGTCTCTAGTGCGCAGTTGAAGTGGGCCTCGCAGAGCTGACTTGTAAGATTCGCGCAACTTCCGAAGTCACCTTCAATCCAAGAACAATTTATTTTTGAAGAGCGACTTAGATTCATACCACCAACACAAGTTTTACGACTATCGCCTGAAGACACACCAAGAACCAGTTTCTTAAAGAACAGACAACTTAAGATGTTAAAACTCACCTAACAAAAACAACGTGTCACGAATCCATATAGCGGGTCGGGAGATAGACGCAGTCCTATGTATCCAGCAACCAGATATAAAGTATTGTTATTCTTTTTTTGATACCTTGAACTTTTGAGTTATTATTTTATTTTATTTTACACATATTTGTGCGATACCACCCTTATTTGAACTCAACTTGCATTACGGCCCCAACGACTGATTGATTTCGTCTGGCTAAGATCAATTCACAACGTGGGTAGGTGGACTGGAGATCAACGCAGTTACTTCGGTAACCAGACGTTGGAAGCGAGTTGGAAACGACGAGGCTGATATCGAATCTGACCAGATTCCCATCCGAATCACCAAAAGGTTAGAACGTCTCATTTGGGTGGCGCGACCAATACCAAGCCAGTTGTTCGTCCCAGGACGGGACAACACGACTGACGCAGACAGGCGGACGTCACGTTTGGAGCGGCGACACCCGAACGAAGCAGCGAGGAACGAGGAAGGCTGTGGGACGTCACACTGACGTGCTAATCCACTTCTCCCTCCAGCTATGGGTAAATAGCAGGACAGACTAGGTTCTATAGCCTTGGATGGCAACTGCTCTAGGAGAAGGAATTCAAAACCTGCAGAGGGTCGTTTGGGGTCCCTGTGGCACGTAGTGCACTAGGTCTCTGTATTCGGCCCTTCAAAAAGTCTGGATGGTCCTGCACGAAACCTTCACCACTATAATCAAATCTCATCTGCTGTTGTCGGGCTGTCGGTTTCCTGGGAACTGATCTGCTTGACTATATATAATCAGGGATAAAAACTTAAAGATCCATTTCAGCTCTAGTTTATTTTGTGAATATTTCTATATATTCATCTCTTCAGACCGAAATTTCTTAATAAATGGAAACAATTTCTTCGGACTGATATACTAGATTAACAGGAGGAAGGGAAACAAGCGGGAAGAGAAGGATGAACGTGAGGAAGAAAGAGTCGACAAACTGAGTTAACTGAGTTAACTGTAATCGTTAACACCTATCCTTCAGTAATAGGGAGAGGAGGTTAAATGCTGTTTAAATAGTCTTAGATCAGTCGATCTTGAGGGGGTTTTCAGCTACTCCACAAAATGATTATTATGATTTAGATTTATTATTATTTTTATTTGTTGTGACGTAAATCGGAATGATTGACCGCAGACAAATGTAACACACAGTTAATCATTAACTACTGTCCCTAGTGTTGTTTAAATAGCCTTAGACGAGTCCATCTTGTGGGGGTGTTCAGATACTCAACCACAAATTTAAATCTAGAAATTAAAAGGGATTAGTACTTTTTAGAAGAGCATTAAACATATTTCTTTTTTGCTTAGAATAACGAAATGTTTTTCTCTAAATGAGAATGAACAAAAAAGAAAATATTATATGAATCTATATATATATATATATATATATATAACTCGTGGCTAATTCACCAAGATAACTCATCGGCTCCTAACGCCCTGAGCATCTTAGAAGAAAATCGCCATACAGGGACAACTTCCCTCCTCACCGGACCAATTTCCGTGTGATTTTTTTTCTTTTGATAAAACCCAAGGGGGACATCATGCAAACCTGTTTTTCCGGAGGTGGAATCTATCGAGAGTCCTGTAAGGATGTAGCAGCGGCGAATCTCGGGAGAATCATTTCATTCATATATATATATATATATATATATATATATATATGTGCGTATATATATACGTATATATGTGTATGTATATACACGCATATATATACGTATATATATATATACTTATATATATATATATATATATATATATATATATATATATATATATACGTGTATATAGGCAGCATTTTTCATTGATGCATGAATTATTAAATAATATATACAAGTGTTTTTTTTCTATTTATTTTATGGAAATTCTTTTCATATCGTTTGATAAGCTGAATAACATCATCATTAAAAGACGTAAGAATATCACCATATTGATATATATTTTTTAATCCTATCTAAGATGTTGCCTTACATAAGCCGTTATCAAAGACGACAATTACATTACAATATATTAACCAATACACGGAAAAAACAATACTGATAGCCTGTTTTTGTTTGCATGGAAATTTCCTAGCAACGACAAACTCATGCATACGAGACGCTAAAAGCGAAAATCGTTTGAAAACACAACTATACTTAAACATGAAAACAATAAACAAAAACTAAAAATTCTTAATCAGACGATATTAAAAAACTTACATAAATTAAATAGACAAAACTTGTCCATATATATATATATATATATATATATATATATATATATATATATATATATATATGAAGTGCGTCAGAAAAAGTAGTTCTAAATTTAAGAACTCACCGAACTATCTGATCCTACAACTTATCTTCTTACTTAGACTGGCAATGTACTAGATCTCTAATTAACTCTAAATTGGTTAAGCATCTCACATCACAAAGTCTAATTTTATATAAGTAATAGGGCTTTCGCTTCAAGTGTTGATCGGTTAACGATTATTGCCAAAAAATATTAGATAAGATCAGTGATGTTCGGATGTTTGCTTTTGCTATCTCTAGGGCATAAGTCTGGGTTTGGCATACTGGTCTCTTTCAAAAGTTAAAAGGTTATGTTACTTCTGCATTAATTTTTGAACTGATTCAGTCTTTCTTATCAAATCGCAAAAGGAATGTTGTCTTGAATGCCCACTCTTCTAGATCTTTCTTGCATAAATGCAGGTGCTTCCCAGCGATCTCGCATTGGTCGTACGTTGTTTCTAATTTTCATAAATAACCTTCCTGATGCCATCAGTTCTTAACGCGGTGTCTATGCTGATGATAGTAATTACTTAATAGTAAGTTTAATCAGTTCGATAAAGTCAAATCGATAGTTAAAAAATGACATACAATCTGTTTTTTTAAATGGGCCAAGTAGTGGCTTGTTAATTTTAATGCCTCTAAAATAAAACTGCTTCCTTTTAATAATCTGAGAGAAACCTTTTTAACTTCCATAAGCATGGCTGATGCTAACCTCTAGGAGAGTGATTCATTGTTCCTTCTCAGACTATCGTTCCATGCTGACATGAAATAGAATGAATATATTGAAACAATTAG